TTAAATGTTTGTCAAATAAATGTAAAAACATTCTCTACATAAAACTAATATTCTTAGCCATGATTATAAAATAAATACAGCTATACAATATCACGAACCAAATGTTTTTACCTCATGTTCCTTCTCTTGTAGCACCAGGACTATATCCCCAGGTTCGACGCCTGGTGCTTGGTCAGCTTCCCCAGAGAATGTGATCTTCTGTCCATGTCTCATGCCTTTGTCTACATGCACCTCCAGAAGCTTGGTCTCCTTACACACCTTATGACCCTCACACTTTCTGCAGCGGTCCTTCTCATTTATCACCTCACCTGCGCAAGCACACATACAGAGATTGGACAAATTTCAGAGAGCTGTTGTGCTAGTTATTGTACATTATTCTTTTTAAAAGTATAGTCAGTGTGTGGGTGTTAATGGACATATTACCCTCTCCATTGCAGTCTGTGCAAACTGATTGCATCTGTTGGACCATCCCAGGGGCCAGCTGTCTGATCATAATTCTCATACCTCGTCCTCTGCATGCCACACATTTCTGCACTGCTCCTGCCTTACCCCCCTGACTAAAAGGCAAACAGCAAAACATCAGCATTGTTAAAGGGAATTTGTATCCAACAAAATTACTGCAGTTACATAGTATCTTCCATCAGCGCTTTGAAGCTATGAACTTTTTTTAAGTGATTAAAATAAAACACACAAAGCAAACTCACCCATTACAGGCACCACACAGCACATTCTTACTGAGCTGCAGTTTGGTGGTTTTGCCATTGTAGAGGTCTTCCAGAGAAACCCTGCATGACAAAAGAGTTATGAGATGCTTGTGACAACTCATTGTATTCAAATTGCCCATCAAAGCAGCCAAAATGTATTTATGTAACACACTTACTTCAGAGGGTGTACCATATCATCTCCTCTCCTCCTGCCTCCATTGCGTCCTCTGCCCTGTCCCCCCATGAACCCAAACAGTCCTCCACCAAAAATGTGAGAGAAGATATCGTCCATGCCGGGCCCTCCGCCTCCTCCCTCCCGTAGCCCCTGCTCTCCATAGCGATCATAAAGCTCCTTCTTTTCTGGATTTGTCAGTACCTCATATGCGAAGCTGATTTCTTTAAACTGGAGAATGATAAAAGGAACGATCAGACAGCTTGGCACATTGTGGGAGACACATAAAATGGTACATCGCAGCAAAAAGGGCCAACTAGTTTTGTTTTTGAAGAACAAAGTAAAAGGAAATTTAAAAAGTAGTCTCTTGGGGTTTCATTCTTGTTGAATCTGAGGAGTTAGGTCACACAGCAGCACAGATTAAACACTGATGCGCTTTTTGCTAAGGAAATACTGTTTCATATTTCAAACTCTGATCTGAACCTTGTCTAAATCCTCAAAGAATTATGTTTTGTGATCATGATAAATTAAGTTGACATCATCTATTGGTCCCAATTATTAAACAATTGGGCTGCTGCTAACTAGCTTTGGTGCATCATACCTTGTCTCCAGCATCAGGGTTCTTGTCTGGGTGGTACTCTTTGGCCAGTTTGCGGTAGGCCTGTAATAAACCAAACATCAACGTGAACAAAGGTGTGTTTGCAGCTTGAGCTCAGGTGCCATCAGTGTCAAATAGCTCTGTTTGCAAGTCACTAAGTGTATTAACTGTCCTTACAAGCTAAGTGCTTGGCTTGTGGCCTTGCTGTCAAAAACATGAGGGCACTTGGAAGAGCATCGCTGCTTTTGACATCTCAGACACTCTAAATACTCCAGAGGGAAGAACACGTCAACAAAACTACACCTGAAAATGTGTATATTTAGAGTTTACCTGCTGTATCAGGCGGTAAATAATAGCATGATCATATTCTAGCCAATTCACAATCTGCTAGCATGAATCTAACAGTATTCCAGCTGGACATAAAAACGTTTTGCAAGTGAATCACACTGCCACCACCCAGTATGTTGATTTTCTTTAGTCGTAATGCTGGGATTACAAGCGACTATCCTAACGTTACATGGGTTCATTTGGTCGTAGAATATAAGATAAATATACAGGCGATCACAACAATTTAGTCAAATGTCTCACGTCATGTTTATGTTGAGGGGTAGGTTTGCCGATTACAAACAATCCCTACCTGTCTGATGTTTGAATGGAGTTTGGGGAACACAGAGACGTACATCGGCTAACTACCGTTGCGCTAAGTATACAGCAGAGTTAGCCACACGACGGGTGACAACGTTATCTTGTTAACACCACACAAGTTTATCTATAAACCTTCGCTCAAGATATTTTCCAAGTCACCAGACGGTACACCAACACTGTGAACACAAAAGCGGTGTTACTTCGTGGTATTTCATTGTCTGTGTTAGCGGTTTAGCCGGTTCTTGCTTCGTTTCTGCTCAACTTGGTGGGGACTATTTGCTGGAATGTATCATATAATGTCAATAGCCGGCAAGCTATCACACTCGTGGTCACCCGTGTATTGCTTGGTTTTTGTGCAGGCTAACTCCATCCTTCTGATCTATAAAACGTTGAGAACGATAAAAAAACACAAGAAGTACTGATATTTCACACACACACTAATGAGAGGCTTTAATTATACTAAAAAACGCCTCGCCTTAAGTACGGAATAGTTATCTAGCTAGCTTAGCTTTCTGGCTAGGCTAACGAGCTAGCAAACCGCCGCTGAGAATCCTTAGCTAGCGTTAGCTTTCAGTAACCTAGCTCACGTTGATGGCTTCTTTCTAGGCCAAAATTCACAGATGACCTCCCTTCTTATAATTCTGTCCTTACTAAATACATTTCCCACACGTATAAAACAGTAAATTAGGTACCTTTTTTAGTTCATTTTCAGAGGCAGACGGTGAAACTCCGAGGATGTCGTATAGCTTAGTATCCACCACGTTCGCCATGATGCTAACCGGCTACACAGAAAGACCTTCCGCGGAGGTTCAGCTGAGCGAGGAACCGACGCAAGAATCACCGGCTGGGACTGTCCAGGGCTGCCAGATACTACGACAGACACAAACACCCACTCGGAAGCAGATGCATCAAACAGAAACCGTATTATCCCCGAAAACGGTTACAGGACTTATGTTTTTAAGGTTGAATGTGCCACTGTGTTCATATGTACGGTTATTGAACAAATCGTATGTTTTTAATTCGACACGTTTTATTACTGATATTTACGCTGCATGAAAAAAAACGCCCGGAAGCGTGAGAGAGCCTCCACGCGATTGAAATGGCTGTACATTTACTTTTAGACTTAATTAATGTAATGCATACATAAAAACACCTGTTACAGGCGTGTGTTTTTTCCAGATTTGTCCACATTAGTATTTAGATAACGTGGGATTGTGTGTGAGAGGGAGTTAGGGACCGTCTGTAAAGATAGGCTACACCACACTGTTCAAGTGATTTTGGCTTTTGTAAATGTCCCCGTATCTTGGAGTTTTCACATGGAGAAGAGCAGCATTTATTAAGCCCACTCCACAGGGGGGCACTGAAATAAGGTCTAAATGATGTCTTGGGACATCTTCAGCATTATAATAGATTTTCCAATAGAAAACTGTAGCCTAATTTTGCCTGTATCTGGAGTCAGACTCTTATGGGTGAATCACAGCCATGTAGCCCCTGTTTTCTGGTGACTATTCAACAGCTTTAAATTCTGTAATTTATATTAACCAGTTAATATTGTGAAATAGCAACCTAACCCTAAGGTAGGGGTCACTATCTTCTATTTTAAAGACTTACAGTTGTCTAAACCAGTGTCTCTTGTTGGTTATGCTGCAGACTTTCCAGATAACACCAGTGCGTACGGATTAGCAATTTTCTGCAGACTGAAGGTTTAAGGAAATACATTGACCTTGAGCAGTGGTATAAAATATCAAAGTACCTTTATGCAAGCACTGTTCTCAGGTGCAATTTTGGTGTAGCCTACTTATACTTGAGTATTATGATTTTATTCCTCTACTCCATTACATTTCAAAAGGGAAATATTGCACTTTTTAATCCACAACATATATTTAACAGCTATAATCAGTAGTTTATTTTCATCTGAAGAATTTACATACAAAACATGACCAGTTTATTAAATACTGTGAATTATTTTAGATTAAACTACACCAAAGTATATAAAGCAGTTACAATTAGAAACACTCAAACCAATAACAATATTAAAGAGTTGGCTGTCATGTTAATGCATCAATTGGCCTTATTATGTTTCAATATTATAATGATATAACTCTCAGGTTGGGCTTCTGTATAATTAGAACTTTCATTTTCTGATGCTTAAAGTGCTTTGTTTGTTTGTTTTGCTGCTTTTATTTGCTGTTGAGCATTTCTACACTGCTTCTTTTACTTCAGAGGTCTGAATACCTCTTCCACCAGTGAAGACAGAGTACCTAGACTCTATTTTGTATTTTGCCTGGCAGGGATTATTAGCCTATCACTACAGCTAATATATGCTGTATTTTTCAATAACTGTTTGCCAGGTGATAAAGCCTCACCGTGCAGCAGCAGATGCACATATGGTAAAATAATAAATATGCAGACTTGTAACCTGACACAGTGGAAAGTCGTGTTCAGGGGCAGCAAAACAGCATGGGGACGAGAGTCACTGCACAGGGGGTCCTCAGCACACCAGGTGATGAATAAGGTATAGCATTTTTAGTAGTTCTTTCTCTAGGGATTAATTAAAGCTTGAGTCGCATATTTGTATTATCTGCTTGCTTTTTATATCGCAAATAAATGTGTTTATTATCAAGATTCAGATCGGCCCCTTGGGCTTTTCAAAAATCTGAGGTCAGAAAATGAGGGACAGTCCCTAAACACTTGTCGCACTGTCAGGTGTCCATGACCAGGGACCAAGCAATTTCTTGTAGTAGTAAAATGTTTTTGATTTAAACATTTTAAAAAAAAAATGCATCTTATTTAGCACAATTTAGAAATTAAATGTACTGTTTCATATAGCTGAATGTTTTGTTTGAGTGATGAATCTGAGTGTTTCACTGCAGCACTTGATGCCGTGTCACCAGCTCCACACTGACAGCAGTTTTTCAGGGTGACCGCAAATAAATACGGAGTTGGTCTTACGATTACACAGTTGACGGACAGCTGAACTTTTGATTACGTTTTAGGTATCCGCCATTTTGATTTCAGAATCTGACAGATTTTTTGTTGCCTGCCTGCCGAAGTGTAATTCGGACCCTGTCAACAACACGGCCACTCTGCAGGCCAACCGCCGTGTAACGGCAGTGTAAATGACATTGCAACCGGGGAGAGGGTAGTATCTTCAAGCTAGCTTCGCGGTCATGAGCAGCCAGCTATGGGCCTTCGGGTGACCTGACAGCCAAAGGCGCCGAGTTGCCGTTCAGCTTGTGGATGACGACTGATGAAATGATGGATAACAGGTAACGGTCGCGTGTCTCGTGGAGGAAAACATATGTAGGCTAACGTACACCCGTGCGCGAGCTGCCTTGCTGTCAAACGGTCGGAGGACGGTGACGCTAGGTTTCAATCAGGAGGACATCATCCCACCTAACATTAGCCACGCAGCCGTTATAAATGACTGACCGGTGTTAGCCTTTTAAACAATATAAACATCATTTACCACCGGTACCGTCCTGAAATACTTTGGTAACGTTAGCAACATGATTAGGACATTGCTAGCGGGCTGGTTTACGACCTGCATGCAAGGTAAGTGAAAGGCACCGTCGTTAAGCACCATAAACGCACCGATAGAGACTGGTAACAGCAGATAAGCTAACCTAGCTTGTGAAGTTTCGATAACTGTGTGGATAAGACAAGTCACAAAGAAATGACTGTTACTCCGTTATAACAAACAACCGTTGATAGCTAACAGTAACCGTTACCAGCTGATGTGAGGCCTGTCTTAAAGCTGACCATGGTTGTGCTGTTGTGTGGAATTTAAAATCAATATCTAGCTATGAGGAAAAATTATAAAAATGTAAATAATTCCTGAAGTTTATAGTCGTAGCTCAAAAACCCCTGTTTGTTTAGCTACATCATGTTAATTGAATGGATGGGTACACAAGGGCAGCATTATGAGAGATTGTTGTTATGCAATCAGTGTAAATGGTGCTCGTGTTCAACCCCTATTTTACACTGTAAATATATTACACGTATTTCAGTGTATGCAGTGAATGCTGACTTTGCCATATTTGAAATTATATACATTTTCAAAGGGGGCCTAACCCACAATTCAGACAAACACAAGCTGAATAAGCAGCATGTTTATCATGGTAATCAGCTGTGTAATCCACTTAATGATAGTCTGAATTAAAGATCAAATTTATTGCGGTGGATTTCTTCCTTTATCTATGGTTTGCTTTGGTTTATGGGGACATAAGGCGAAGATCCCTCCTTTAAAGTCATTGGCCAGTGGCAGCTCCAGCTTGCCTCAAACATTGCTGTCATCATCACCACACCTAATCTCAAGTTTGCACTTTATAGTAACACAGACATCAGCTAATACTAGATTCAGCAGTCCTCATCCAATTCACTGGCTGACACCGTTGTTTCCCTTAAACACAAGTATTCATACCACACACTAAAGTTAAGTGTCTTCCTGCAGGGGGATTTGTTTTGTTCAGCCTCAGACTCACTCCAGTCATTGTTTGCTGATGTAACTCTATGTGTGAGGCCATTCTCAAAGCAAGCTGGGTGATGTCAATACACAGATGTGCAGCACTAACTCAATAACAGATGCATTGCTTCCTGCTCTCTCCAGAGAGGAGTGCAAGCCTAGCCTCCGCACTTATGCTGACTTTAACTCTTCTTCTGGCTCTAATGAAGGCAGAGCAAGTCTTCCTGGAAATGATCCTGTAACATTTGTTGTTTATTGTTTTTTTTTTATTACCAGGATGAAGCCAACCTCTCCTGGGTGTGTGTGACTGTTGTTTAGTATGAATGAAGTTGGTGTGTTTGTGTTTTCATTGAGTGAATTTGCTGATGCTGATTGATGCCTGGGCCATGCAATGTCAATAAGGCAAATGGCGGTTTAGCAAGATCTGACTGAGGATACTACTCCTTGTCCAAAATGTAAGAGCATACATACATACATGACATTGTACACAGTTTTTGTCATTAACACGTGCATGTATGCTGTACGGTCATCATACTGATCATCATGTCCTCTTTTGGTCAGCAGCTAAGTGTATGTGCCGGTGACGTCAGCCATGTTTTGGAAGTTTGACTTACACACATCTTCTCACCTGGAGGCTTTACTAGACAAGGAGGATGTCACGCTCACAGAGCTCATGGATGAGGAAGATGTGTTGCAGGAGTGCAAGGCCCAGAACAGGAGGTCTGTTTATTGTTAGCTTTAGTATATTAGCAACACATTATGATATTACATTCCCAGTAATTCCTGCTGGTGCTAACTGGTGCTCCTTTTCTCATCATTATGGATTTGCAGACTTCTCCTGTTCCTGTGCCAGGACCAGTGCATGCAGGACCTGGTCCGTATGATTTCCACAGAGCCCCCTGCTGGTGTAGAGGAGACAAAGCGCTTCAAGTAGGTGGTTGTGTATAATGTGCTGATGTAGTGTACTGTATCCAGGAAAAGATGTTTTTGTGCTGGTGCTGCACTCCATCATATCTCTTACCTGCCATTTTGTAGTAAAGGTCAGAGCTTAAGTGGGCTCAGATTTGTGAAAACCAATGGTTCTTGATCCAACTATCTAACCAAACCATTGATGATTCATTTTAAGTGCCTGTTGGACAGTCAACCTGTGAAAATTAGGGCAATCCTGTTCCTTTTTTTAAATCTAGTTACTTTAGCAGTACAAAGGTAGAACATTAGAACAAGATTTGTTTCTGCTCGTTGTTACAGACAGGTGTGTTCTCTTTGTTCATTACAGGTATGCAAATATAGCATGTGAGCTGTTGACATGTGATGTAGGAGTGATCAATGATAAGCTGGGTAATGAGGAGCCTCTGCTAGAAACTCTGTATGCCTTCCTGGAGCAGCCGTCCCCACTTAACCCCCTCCTGGCATCTTTCTTTAGCAAGACAATTGGGAACCTCATCACACGGAAGACTGAGCAGGTAAAACACACACACACTCACACTCGCGCACACTCAGACAGCTTAATCAAAGGGCATACTCAGCTATGTCTTTGTGTCTTCGTGATTTCATTCACAAAGTCTGAGGGGTGCCTCCAGCAAGATAATAGGAACTGCTCACAGTGGGGATTAGTATTAACCAAGATAGCTGTGAAGTTTTATTTCTCTTGAAATGCCAACAGGCAGGTGTTCCAAAGCATAAAGCAATGCACGTAGTTCAGGTTTTACCCTGTTCAGGGTAGAGCTTAAAGACGTCTGACAAGATGGTTGGTTGAGAGCAACATATCCTGAAAACAGTCCTGAGGGCTATGACATTCTGGGTTTATATTTATGCTCTAGAGGGATGATTTGAAATGATTCTGGTGACCTTCATAACCATCACTTTGGTCCATGATACTTCACCCAAAAACCAATGGACTCAATAAGTTAGTGTTTTCATGTCATGGTGTGTCCTCTGCTCTCTTGTGTTCAGGTTATCAGTTTCCTGCGACGGAAGGAGGGTTTCCTTTCCTTGGTCCTGAAGCATATTGATACATCAGCCATGATGGATGTGCTGCTAAGACTTATCAGCTGTGTGGAGCCACCCCCTCTTCGTCTCGAGACACTTATTGTATGAAAGAATGGACCCACATTCAGACTTTTACATATGACATACCAATATTTGCATTTATAATGTTGTGTTTTTCTCAACAGTGGCTGAATGAAGAGAAGCTGGCCCAGAGGCTCATAGAGCTCATTCACCCTGAGAGAGACGAAGAGGTAAAAGGGTATTTCAGTATTTTTAACAAAACATACTATCACTAGCGTCCACAGACTCTTGAATAAACAGTTTGTGTGCATTTGTGTTTTTCCTCTAACAGAGGCAGTCTAATGCATCTCAGACTTTGTGCGACATCATTCGTCTGAGCAGAGACCAGGCCAATCAGCTTCAAGAGATTTCACAGCCTGACCCTTTGCTGACTGTGCTGGAGTCGTAAGTCAGACAGACAGATACACACACGCACGTTTGCACTCTCTTGACAGGATGTGGAGGCGATGACATACTCCATTGTGTTTCCACAGGCAGGAGTGTGTGGAGCAGTTGCTGCAGAATATGTTCTCAGCAGAGTGTACTGAGAGCTGTATCGTCAATGGGATTCAAGTTCTTCTCACATTACTGGAAATCAGGAGGCCTGTGTGAGTGTGAGACTTTTGTGTGAAGCAGTTTTAAACTGTGTATAATTAATTCTATTCTACCGTGGAGGGATTGCTAATGTCATTTTTCACTTGACCCCTGGCCTAGTGAAGTTAGTCACAACTCTCTTGTGTGGCCATTTATTAAATGTACTATCCATTGGTTTCCTGTTTTTGATATTTGGTATGTTTTTTTTATGACAGGGTGGATGGTGTAATGGATGCGCAGGGATTTGAGAGAAGTTACACTGTTAACAGCAGCATTTTGTTGGCCATCCAACCACACCTGAAACACTTCCACCAGCTACTTCTGGAGCCACCTAAGGTACAAATATATAATCATCTTTAACTGCTTAGACTATGTAGGATTTTCCTAAAAAAATGTATAGGCTCATACAGGAGTAATCCCTCTCAGTCATCACTTATGACCCACCAGAAGTGTTTGGCTGTATATTTTTCTGCAGAGACTCTACCTTCTGCCTGTATTTTCTTACTTTTATTGTCCCCCCACAGCACTCAGGTGAGGTTGAGGCTTTATAAAAAGGTAGCGACTGGATGCCAGACCATAAGCTGTAGGTATCCAAGAAACACAGTGCCAAAAAAACCACAAATATAGCAAAGCGAAACGCCAGACAAGCCGGAAAAGTACACCTTTTAATATTAGCTGTTGTAGAATGAGATAACATGCTACACATGATAAATATATATAATAAGTTATCAATAGAAAAATCAGAGCTCCCCTCAGCACAGCAGTCCAGTTCATCCAGGTGCTAGTCTCAGGCAATATGGAAAGCATCAAAAAATGAATCAAGGGCTTGTCCTACACCAAAACTCACAAGGGGAAGCTCTTTCACTTGCAGAGAGTGTGGAATATGCTATAAATATCAAGCATGCTCTCATTTTTGCTGCGCAGCAACCCCTTTCTTCAGTAGTTGTTTTTTTTTTCTCATGTCTGTTTTTATTAGGTTTTTTTAAGTTATAAAAGATACAGTTTGATATACATTTCAATACAATCCCACCCCACAAACAACCCCACCCCACTGCACCACCACGAGTCAGTAAATGTACATGATTTAAAGAAAAAAAAAAAAAAAGAAAATGCACACACACATACACAAAAATCCGCAAATCAAGTTAACAAAACAAACAAAAACATACACAAATAAAAATAAAAGGATAGTAAAAAGAAGAAGGGGTTATATCTATACATTTAAAATGTCTGAGGCATCTATCTTTTCAACATGATCTAGCACTGGTTGCCATATAGCATAGAAGTTGAGGCCACAGCCTCTTGTGGCATAGCGGATTTTTTCTAAAGTCAGATGGTGCAGAAGATCCCTGATCCATTGATTGAAGGTTGGAGGAGATTTGTCTTTCCATTTAAGCAATATGAGTCTTCTAGCCAGTAGCATAGCAAAGGCCATCATGTTTTTGCCATGTCGAGTGGGGCATAAATCCTGCGGTGCTACACCAAATATTGCTATTATGGCAAGAGGTTCTATGGGTATTCCTAGCAGGTCAGAAAAGAATTTGAATATAGGATGCCAAAACTCTGTTAATTTTGGGCAAAACCAGAACGTATGTGATAAAGTAGCTGTTGCTGTTCCACAGCGGTCACAGTTAAGGTCAGTATTTGGTGTCATTTTTGCCAATCTCGCTTTAGACCAATGTAACCTATGTACAATCTTGAACTGTATTACCTTATGTCTTAAGCAAATTGAAGATGAATGTATCCTATCTAATGTAGAGTCCCATATATCCTCAGTAAGTTTGATGCCTAATTCTTCTTCCCATTGGCTTTTTAAATGTGTCAAAGGTTCTAAATTGTGAGAATTGAGTGACATGTAGATTTTTCCAATAAGCCCTTTATGGTCGGAGCTAAACTGTAAAAGAGAATAAAGGAGAGAGCTGGAGGGTATCGAAGGAAATTGAGCTGATTGTGAGGATACAAAGTTGCGAAGTTGCAGATACTTGAAGAAGTGTGAGTTGGGGATTTCATATTTTAATCTCAGCTGCTCAAATGATGCAAAATTATTATCAACATAGAGGTCTTTTAAAGTAGCAAATCCATTCCTGGTCCAGATATCAAAGGACCCGTCTATAAAGGAAGGTTTGAACATATTATTTCTTGATATAGGGGCGTTAATTAACATGCTATTGAGTGAAAATGCTCGTCTGAACTGTGCCCAAACCTTCAAGGAGTGCTTAACAACTGGATTTATAGAATATCTGGATATAGGTTCTGGTAATGGGAGCTTGGAGCAAAGTAAAGCATCTAAAGAGGCAGGTCCACATGACAACTTTTCTAACTGTAACCATTTTGGGCCGCTATCTTGTGGTGGGTTAAGCCAATGTAACAGCGCGCGTATGTTAGCCGACCAGTAATAATACTGAAAGTTGGGTAGGGATAATCCTTCATGTTTACGGTGTCGCTGTAAGATAGTCTTTCGTATTCCTGAAATTTTTTTATTCCAGATGAATGAAGACAACAGTTTATCAATAAGCAAAAAGAAGGATTTCGTCAAAAAGATAGGAATACAAAGGAACAGGTACAAAAATCTAGGTAGCACAGTCATTTTGATAGTGTTAATTCTACCTCCTAATGATAACGGTAATAAGTTCCAGCGCTCAAAATCATTTTTCATAGATTCGATAAGCGGGGGGAAGTTGGCTTTGTAAAGATGTTTAAAATTATGCATAACCCAAATACCTAAATATTTAAATTTATTTTTAATTATTTTAAAGGGCAGTGAACTAAACACAATCTGTTCAGCAGCAGGATTTATAGGCATAAGCTCACTTTTTTGTGTATTTATTTTATAACCAGATATTTTTCCAAATGTATCTAATAAGGCAAGTGTTAGTGGTAGGCTACTTAACGGTTCAGATAAGTACAAGAGCATATCGTCCGCGTAAAGGGATACTTTATGTTCAGTATTATTCCTCTGTATGCCTTTAATCGAGATACTGTCACGTAAGGCAATCGCTAGTGGTTCGATCGCCAAAGCGAAAAGGAGTGGGGATAAAGGGCAGCCTTGCCTGGTCCCACGACCCAGTGGGAAGAAGGAAGATAAGTTATTGTTTGTGCGAATTGCTGCTAAGGGGAGAGAGTAGAGAACGTGAATCCAAGATATGAACTTTGCACTAAATCCAAATTTTTTTAGAGTGTAAAAGAGGTAATCCCACTCCACCCGATCAAATGCTTTCTCGGCATCGAGTGATAGAAGCACCTCAGGAATGTCGGGTGGAGTGGGATTATAAAGGATATTCATTAGTCTACGTATATTAAAAAATAACTGACGATTTTTAATAAATCCAGTCTGATCATCAGAAACTACAGAAGGTAAAACATTTTCTAAACGGAGGGCTAACATTTTAGCAAGCAATTTACTGTCAACATTCAATAGAGAGATGGGTCGAAAAGAGCCACATTCTAGAATGTTTTTACCTTTTTTATGGATTAATGAGAAGCAGCTTGTCTCATTGTTTCAGGTAGTGAGCCGGAGTTAAATGATTCTTCATAGACTAAAAGTAATATAGGAGCAAGTTCACTGGCAAATTTTTTAAAGAATTCACTCGGATATCCATCCGGTCCAGGAGATTTCCCATTTTGCATGGACCTGGCTGCAGTAATAAATTCTTCTTTGGAAAAGGGGCTTTCTAAATTGGTGGCAGTTTCCTCATCAATTATGGGAGTGTTAAGGCTGCTAAAAAAAGAGTCAAGTCAAACAGAGATTCATCATTAGTAGATTCTGTGGTATAAAGCTTTGAATAATACCTATGGAAACCTTGATTAATCTCTAAAGGATCTGTAAGTTTAACGCCCTCCTCGTTGTTTATCGCAGTTATAGCTTGACTAGCATTTTCTTGGCGTAACTGGTGAGCCAGAATCTTGCCAGTCTTTTCACCATATTCGTATGTCTTATGCCTTGATTTATTTATAAGATTTTCAGCATGCCTTGTGGACAAGAGATTAAATTCAGTTTGAAGGGTTAATCGTTGCTTAAACAGATCAGGTGATGGAGAGTGGGCCAATGTCTCATCAAGTTGAAGGATGTCTTTGGTTAGTTTTTTGAGACGCTCATTTAAGGCTTTTTTAATATGGGCACTATATGATATGATTTGTCCCCTAAGATATGCTTTCATCGATTCCCAAATTACAGAAGAGGACATTCTTGGGGTTTGATTACGTACTAGATATTCAGTTATCTCATTTGAAACAAAGAAGTAATGTATTGAAATGCCATGGGCGATAACTAGCGTGTGTATTTGGTATGCATAAAGTCATCAATAGTGGGGCATGATGAGTCTAGAAAAAAATAATCTATGCGTGAATATGTTTTGTGTACTGGTAAGTAGAAAGAATAGCTTCTGCGTGTGGGTTTTTGGAAGCGCCAAGTGTCAGCTATATTGTATGAATTAAGAAAAAGTTTAATTGCCTGTGCTGCTTTAGATGAGGTTGTAGTTCTAGGTGAGCTGCGATCCAGAGTGGGTGATAACACACAGTTCATATCGCCTCCTAATATGAGGTGATGTGTGTCTATATTGGGTAAACGTGAAAAAAAACTAGTAAAAAAAGTGCTGTTGTCCCAATTTGGTGCGTACAAATTTGCCAGTGTGACAGGGGTGTTATTTAATTTGCCTACCACTATTATATAGTGACCAGCAGAATCTGCCTCAACACTGGACATAACAAATGGGACATTCTCGTTGATGAGAATAGCAGTTCCTCTAGATTTGGAGTGAACGTTGGAATGGTAAGATTGACCCACCCATCTCTCTCTTAGTCTAAAATGATCAAAGGTGGTCAAATGGGTTTCTTGGAGGAAGGCAACCCCTACATTAAGCTGATTCAGATGTGAGAATACTTTTTTACGTTTTACTGGATGGTTTAAGCATTTCACGTTCCAGCTAACAAAAGTGATCTGACAACCTCCTGATTTATTCACATTCACATGTGGCCTAGCCATAGTCTGTTGTAGAGAACATACATTCCGAGATACAGTAGTGTATGATGGTCTTGATTAGTTGAGCATGTATAAAGAGAGACCCCTCTTCTCATACATTAACAGACAAAACAGAAAAAACAGGAAAAACGAAAAACATAAAGTAAAAGTTTGGTGCAATGGTTTCCCCTCCCCTGTCACCTATAGGAACACGGTGACTACTAAACCCCTCGCAAAAATATCCACACATTAAGTGCTTGTGTGAGGAACCGCTAGTCTAACATATTGCTCTGCTCTTATATAAATTCAACAAATAATTCTAAAGTATGAAAAGAAATTTAAAAAAAAATGAAAAGGTGGCGCCAATTAAACAACAACCAAGCAGCCCCTGGGATTTCTTGATCATTCTATGTCCCTGAGTACAATTATAAAACATAAATGACCAATGATTCAAATGGTTAATACGACAAATTATTGGCTGTGATTATCAGCAACAAGTGGTGATTACACTCATCTCCCCTAGATAGTCCATTTCTTATATTGTTCCAATTTCCACATATGCAATAATGATCTTTTACTGATCAAACGAGAGTCATGGAGACAAATAAAAAAATAATAAAGAGAGGGGAGGAACAGTTCACAAAATATATAAAGCAAGTTTCAGGCCCTTACATAACACACTGAAAGCAGACCCTTATCTAGAATATAAGAAAACATAGAAAAATAAACATAAATCCAGCACCCCTGGGCATTTCTTGGTCATTCTACATTCTTGAAAAAATAAAACAGAGGTGACCTATGATTTAGACAGTTAGTGTTTTAGCTATGGTTATCAGCAATAACAAGTGGTTCTGGTTATCCCCTCTGGATAGTCCATATCCTGTTGTTCCAACTCCAACATACAATGTTCATATGATGTTCATGTACTCACCAGATGAAGGTTATGGAGAGAAACAAATAAATCAAAAGAGGGAAAGTTCAGAGTATAGTATAGTTTTTAGATAATGTTTGTTTTCACATATGCCATAGCCCAAGCCGCGTCCTGGAACAGTTTCTCAGTCCCGTTGTGCATAATACGGAGCCGGGCTGGATGCAGGATGCCGTAGCGGACGTTGTCCCGTCCTCGAAGTAGTTTTCTGACCTTGTTAAACGCTGATCTTGCTCGGGCAACGCTCGGTGGGTAGTCGGGGAACACGAAGATAGTGGCTCCGTTGTACTGCAGGGGACCGGCTTCTCTGGCCCGGCGGAGGATCTCAACGCAGTCCTGATAGTAGTGCAGCCTTGCGATTATGGCTCGAGGTTTTCCGTCTGATCTCTTCGGCTGGAGAGTGCGTTGGGATCTGTCAATCAGCACGTCTTAATCCATTTTCAAGATATCTTTGATTCATTTCGAGACAAAGGTCAGGGAGCTTGAGCCAGTTTCTTCAGCCACGTTCAGGATGCGGATATTTGACCTCCTCATTCTGCCCTCCATGTCCAAGCACTTTTCCTGTAGACTCTCCACATTTCTCTCGAGTTTTTGCACGGTGTCCTGCAGTGATGTTACCTCGTCTGAGCAGGCGGAAAGGCCTCGTTCCATGTCCAACACTGTCGTTTTAACTTTTTCCATGTCCGCACGCAACGCCGCGGTGTTGTTTGCGATTTCCGTCTTGACCGCTTGCAGCTCCGACTTAATCACACTAAACTCGGCAGTGAGCGCACTCTTCAGCTCCGCTTGGAAAAGACCAGCTATTTCCATTTTGAGTGAGGAGAGTATCTCAGTTTTCATGTCCATCACATTTTGCTCAGCGGGCTCGGACATGTTGCTAGGTGTGTCAGCGCTTGTCTTGCTAGCAGCGGCCTTCCCCGTGTAGCTGTATTTACGCAGGTTAGGCCTACTCGCCATTTACAAGGAAAAAGTGGGAGTAAAAAAAACGGGAGTCTGCTCAAAACTTTAGTTAGTGCTTTAGATGGTTTTCTTGTATCTTATTGTTGGTGTAGGGCGCCAAAAAAAGAAGTTAAATCATATTTTCTGCAGAGCTCACCCAACTCACGACCTACTCCATTAGCTGCTCGACAGCGCCCCCCTTCAGGAGTTATGTTTAATTCTCTGCCACTTACAGATAACACTTGCAATACAGCATTTGTACTTGTACAGCAAAGCTCTGCTAAACCTTTAGAATTTTGTTTCTTAAATTCCTCTATGTCCTCCAACTGTGCACTTTTAGCGAAATCCCATGCTGACTACTCTGGGTGTGCTGGAGGAACCATTAGGGAACACACGTCTGCATGTAGCCAGACTGGTGGCCTCTCTGCTGTATACCAGCTCTTCTAGCCATGCTGTCGTAGCACAGGAACTCTGCCGACTCAATACGATGGACCTGCTTCTGGTGAGATGAGCAAACATCCTGCATTCCTAGAGTGCAATGTTGAGATTGCAATGAATGTTAAACGTGCCACTTGAGAATATGCGTCTTTTTTCAGGACTTGTTCTTCAAGTATACGTGGAACAACTTCCTGCACCTCCAAGTGGAGCTTTGCGTCGCTGCCATCCTCCGGCCCTGTGCCCATGAAATGAGACTTCAGCCTGGCTTGGGATCCCAGGAACAATTCAAGCCTCATCAGGATGCTTCACAAGAGCAGGCTTTGACTGATACCCCTTCTGAACCTTCAGCCACCACTGAAAACTCTGCACACAATCTAATGGTGACTCATGTAGGTGTCTCTGCTTGTGTTAATCTATAGGAACAAGTCACTGTGGTGGTTTGTTCTGACTTAAAACAGTAAATTGACTCTGTCTTTGTGTCTCATAAGTTGTTTCAGCACTGCCACCTTGTCCAGCGGATTCTGGAGGCTTGGGAAGAGAATGATAAAATACAGTAAGGAACCCTAATGGCATGATCTCTTTGATAACAGGCAGCGGCTTATGGGGTTTCCCTAAGTGTAGAATTTCTGTTTTTAGGTCAGAAGGTGGTATGAGAAGAGGGTACATGGGACATTTGACCAGGATTGCCAACACAGTAGTCCACAACCTGGAGAAGGGCCCAGTTCACACACAGATTAGTAGCCTCATCACAGGTATGTGGAAAAAAGAAGTCACACAAATGTCACTCCACTGGTACATTGCTTTGTTAATGCTGCTGTGGTTTTGCATGCAGAGCTGCCAGAGGACTACAGAGGGCGCTGGGAAACCTTTGTGGACCAGACTCTGTCAGAGACTAATAGGAAGAACACCATAGACCTGGTAAACACACACAGACATACCCATCAACAGTATATAATAGCTGTTTGCACTTAAACACACATTAAGACTTCAAATGCTGCATTTGTGGTGTTTTTTCCATCTCCAGGTTGGCACTGGAAACCCACGTCCCTCTTCAGAGGATGATATGGAGAGTCCTTTCCCTAAAGAACTTACACTACAGCAGGTACACATACATAAACACACACAAAAATACTGCTGCTGATATCAGAGATAGTAATCTAATTCAAATGTGTGGTGTGTGTTGTAGGCCTTTTCAGACTACCAGATCCAGCAGATGACGGCTAACTTTGTGGATCAGTTTGGCTTCAATGATGAGGAGTTTACTGATCATGACGATAGCATTGGGTAAATTAATTGACATTCTTCTCTGTATGACAGTAAACTATTGTTGTTGTGTGCCAACTGAGTAATTTCTATTGTTACGGCAGAGCAACGTTTGACCGAATTGCAGAGATCAATATCAACATTGATGCAGGCCAGGACACTGTGAGTTTATTTTGATTATTTATACAAATGTATTCACACATTTTGTCTATGTAATTGTATTTCTGTAATGTTTTGGGGCTGTCAGTGTCATTGTTTTTTCTTAAAAATCCATTAACAAATTTCATGGCCATTAGGGGTCAAAAATAACCAAAGAAACTGGCAAACACACAGACACACAACTCAAGCCTTAACCTTAGCAGTTATTATGCAGCATTTTAAATATTTATGTACACTGAATAAACGTAATACATTCGATATATCCATCTGTCTTTTGCAGGCTAATACAGCTGTGTTTGAGGCCTGTTCTAAGGAGAAGATTCAGCCCTTTGATGATGACGAAGAGGACATTTGGGAGGAGAAAGAGATCAACTTTGCAACACAAACCAAGTCTCGTAACAGGTAAACACACAACAGCACACACAGATGTTATCAGTGCTTCGGATTTTATTTCAGCATCAGTTTCCCCTGGGATTGTTTCCAGCAGTGGTACTGAAGTGCATCCACTGGCACGAGAAGGGTTTTCGACACATATTCGTACACAGTTGTAGATGTCGATTTGCATTTAATAAAATGCTTCCCATGCAGTTACAATAGCCCCTGCATGTGTGGGTAGATATAACATAGGACATATAGGGTTTCAATCAATATTGTGACTCTATCATAGCTTGTCAAACAATTGATGACTGTTAAGTAGAGCACAGATACAAGTTCATTCTTTAATTTCTGTAACCGTTTATCCCCTTGAGGGTCGCAGGGTGGGGGCTGGAGCCTATCCCAGCTGACATTGGGCGAGAGGCAGGGTACACCCTGGACAGGTCGTCAGACTGTCACAGGGCTAACACATAGAGACAGACAACTATTCACACTCACATTCACACCTACAGCCAATTTAGAATTACCAATTAACCTATCCTCATGCATGTCTTTGTGGGAGGAAGCCAGAGTACCTGGAGAAAACCCACGCTGACACGGGGAGAACATGCAAACTCCGCACAGAGGGGCTCCCTCCTGGGTTTGAACCCCTTATCTGGGGGTGTTCCATTTGTTATCCTTGCTCGTACTGGACTCTGGCTGCTTAAAGCGAATTGATTGCATATGGGGAGATATTTATAGCAGTGGTGCTAATCATTTATCAGTGGCAGGTCGCTGCTGCTTGCTAAATGCATAGAGGGGAAACACATCATTTTGCTTGACGTTATAAATTATGTATATGAATTGAACTGTCCTCAGTCAAACACACTCAAATGTTTTGTTTAATTCAAGGTTTGGTGGGTCACGATCATCCCAGAGCCCTGCAGCCAGTAAAGATTGTGACAGGGCAGCAACTTCTGGCACTGAAGCCTGTGACAGAGCAGCAGACTCTGACTCTGAGGGAGAGGATCCTAAAGATGACCTGGACCCTTTCTCAAGCCAGACCGATGCAACAAAGAGTGAGATGTTATTTTCTATAGTTATGCATAATTGTTTTGCCTTATATGTGAAGGCCAAAGCAGGTTTCAAGCATGTGTCTCACGTAGAGTGTGTGCGGGCTTTTTATTTCACACTCAGGCACTGGCTGGATAGCAGACTTTGGGGAGGTGAACTCAAAGGCTCCTGCAGCAGGAGGAGGCTTTTCCGCCTGGGACACTCCAGACTCCCAGCCAGCTGCCACAGAGGCAGAGGAGAAAGGATGGGCCAAGTTCACTGACTTTCAGCCTTTCTGTTGGTGAGTCTGAGTGTGGATGTGCGTCTAAATATTTGGTGATCTATTTGCAATTTCTCAGAAAGAAGGCTCCTAAATTTTTCCTCTGTCTCAGACCATTTTTCATTGGAAGATTCTTGGACACTATCTATAATGATGTTGTTTAATCTTGACTGATTCTCAATATAATCCATCTTAGAAGATACATTGAGAGCAGATTCCTGCAGAGAAGAGAGATCAGCTTTAATGGAATGGAAGTGTACTGATGTTAGGACCTGTGCCTGTCTTCATTCTGTGTAAACTGTTGGCTTGTTTTTATGTCCTGCACTTGTCTTGTCAGATCATCTAGTCGCTTATTAACATGAGGAGCTCATTTGAGAAACTGCATCTTAAAGCTTTGTCTTGATAAAACAATAATTAGAACTAAAAAAGCCAAGTACATTAAACCTTGGAAATTTAGAAGAAATATTATATGAACATGCTTATGTCACTCAGCCCAGTAACATGTGAAATGTAAATGTAAATGTTTTTTATATCCCTGAGAAAGCATTGGCAGTTTAGCAGTGTCAGTTACAAATCTTCAGTAAAAAACATTTATGCTCAAAACAAACAATAAAGCATATATTTTGTTTGTAGCCAGGTATAATATATGGCGACAAGGCATAATGCAAGTTGGCATCTATATCTGGCATTTATTTACAGCTTGAAGTAAAACAAATACAGCTTTCAAACCTTGTTTGTCCACAAAAGTATTCCCATAGTTTTTTTGTTTTGTGTGGTTTTTGTTGTCTGTCTAGCAACCATAGACACACACTATAATGGTGATTGGCTGCACTGTATTTTATTGAGGTTTTCTTATCTGTGTGATGTATGTCCCCAGCTCTGAAACAGGCCCCAGATGCAGCTCTCCAGTGGACTCGGAGCTCAGCGGATCTGGCAACACCAAACCAAACCAGAATCGTAAGTTGCTTTGGCACAGCACATTCAACCACATAGTCAATGGGGGCGTGTTTATTTTTTGTAACTTTTGATTCATTCACATTTACAATTGCAAATACAGATTTTATATCATGATAAACTTTTCATTCTGATATTAAAATGAATGTAGTCAAAGGGAAAACAGTCAAACAGTTATAACTGGTTTTGAAAGTAAACTTACTTTTTCATTAAAAATGACATTATGTATAAAAAGTTGTCACAATTTTGTTACCAACTTTTTCCTTCAGGATTACCTGAGATCTATAATTTGGCAAACTCTGCTGAGATGAAGTGATGTGACAGTAATGTCCCAGAAAGAACTTGTGGCCACAAAGACTGACTGCCTCAGGTCGTCTGGTTGGTCAAATAGTTGCACTCGAACACTAGAAGACTAGAACAAACAGCCAACCAGCAAGTAGCAAGCAGGCAGTAATAGTCTGTTTTTGTCATTAAAAAAGGGAAATCGGACGACCAACAGGATGGATTCAAGATGGTAGCTAGCCAGTTAGCACATTAACAACACAACTGAATGCTGATACAACAAAGAATATTTATTGTGGTCTAGTGAACATTAACACAAACAATTACAAACCATTTCTGCCAAAGGGTTCAATTGTCAAAAAAGTAATCTTACCCTATACAACAAGGTTATTATCTCACGCCCTCCTGACGTGTAAGTGAGCTCATAGAGTCATACAACCCATACCTATATGCATTTGGCAGCTCATTATAACTGCCTCTCATTCTCTTACTTCAGTGAAATGAGTGTACATCCATGTTAAAGTCAGATGATTTCTTCTCTTTCGCTCTCTGCAGCATGTGTGTGGAGCGTGTGTGTGGCGAGAAAAGCTCCATTGGTGGCATCAGACAGCTCCTCCTCCAGCAGCTCAGACAGCGATGAGGAAGAAGGCAAGACGGAGTCTGCGACCAGTGAGACGGTCACCACAGAGACCATCACCACGGGGGCTGGCAAAGAGACTATTCGGCTCACTGTAGACGCCAAAAATGAAAGGGCAGTCTTCAGCAGGTAGACACGCTTACACACACATGATGTGCAGCTGCTCTGTCCTGATGGGAGCAGTGTGTCCCCTTCTACTATTGCACTATCAAGTGCGTTTATAGAGTCCTTCTTCCCCTTTTCCCCTTCCTGCACAATTTTATCTCTACCTTCTCTGTTTTTCTTCTGATATCGCCCTCCTCCTGTCTGTTCCCTCCTTTCTCATCTCCCTTTGACTCCAGAGTATTCAGACCAGCAGTCAGACGGTATGTTGTGCTTGAGGTTCTTTGCTCTGGAGTGCAGAATGTGTTCCTCAGGTTGTGTGAAGGATTTTAAAGACCATCATAAGCACAGATGGTGCCCTTTGTTTTTGTTTGCTCATTGCATTTAACAGGATATGATGTAACAATTCCTTGTCATAATTCAGGACAAGCCTAATTCATCACAAAAATATACTAACCCACAACTGGTGGCTTGTAGAGAATCTACAGGACCTCTCTTCTTACACAAGACTTATCCCATATTCTCAACATGACCCTGAAATTCCTGACAGTGACCCCTGGCATGAAACATGCCACTCTGCATTTTAAAAATCAAATGGTGGCCTGTTATCTTACAAAAATACACAAAAAGATAAGAACAGTGTATGACTGCTCACTGTGGTTTTACAGATACAGATAATTCTTGTCTTAGTCACATTAAGAAAACCCAAGATAATATGATTTGTTGTCTCTCAGAGCACCCACACTACTAACAGTATGTCAGATAGCATGCTATGAACAGAAGTTGCTTCCAATCCAACATATCAACATTCTAACAAATCAACACATACATTAGCAAGTTACTAACAAACAGTGCACCTACAGCATGCTACGATTAAAAAGACCCTACGTGGAATTTGACAGTAACTACCTTAGCAAAAACTTTTGCTTAACTGTGTGCCCAACTCATTTTAACCCTTTTTATACAGAATTTGCGCTATAGGGCCACAACAAAGTCCCTCTTTTATACCTCCTTTGCATTTTCACACAGAAGCAAACAACAGCAGCGTGGTGCACCTCCAGTGTGTGATTTTGGACGGCATGCTGGCAGAGTCAGCCTCTAGTGTGACATATAAAGGCCCTGACACACCAAGCCTACCGTGGCCATCAGTTAATGTTGGGCTGTTGGTTAGCATCTGTTGCCCCAATCAGTGCGGTGTTTTCCCGCACCTTTGCCCCTGATTGGCCCTCGTCTACTTTTTTTGACCGATTGAGCATGTTGATTTGGCGATAGCAGTGTCGGTCATTGAATAAAAATCCTGCTGACTGGCAGTTCAGCTAAGTGCCCAAGAAGAGAAATCGAAGTGAGGAAAGTAAACAAAGAGCTAAGGCCAGTAGGGAACAAACTTGTTACATAAGGTAAGATTATTTTTCGTTAGAAACGTTTCGCGATAGTTTGTGTTATCGTTCACTGCCTCACTGTAAATATGCTTTGTTCTTTCAACATTAGAGATTAGATTGTGTTGTTCATGTGCTAACTTGCTAACTAGCGTCAAGACGGTCCTCTAGTTTCTCTTTTTGAATAATGATTACAGACTATTGATTGGAGAGTTATTTCCTCTCATGGAGGCCCAGGTCATACCTCGTTGTTTTCCCCATTTGCCAACGGTTTCAGCCACTGTTCTTCGTCTTTGAGTTAGCTGCTAACTGCTGACAGCTACTTTTATAATCTCCTGTGGTGGGTTGCACACATGACATGTCGTCAAAACGTCAAACTTGTGCTGCTCATGATCCCACCCTGCCAGCTGTTGGTTCATCGCTTTTATTTCCTCCAATGCCTGCTTTAAGGCAGGACAACTCTGTCCCTCCATTTCTCGATTGTACCTTTAATACATAACAGTGAGGCAGACCAACGGCGTGAAATTCCTGCCTTGAAGAGGAAGTGTAAAAGGGGCTTTTGATTTTGGTCAGTCATAGCCAGCTATATGTTGGCATTAACAGAGGAGTGGATTGTCAGGTTGCCGTACACACTGGGCAGAGTTATGGCCAGTGTGGACAGCTGAGAGCAGACAGAAGCATCTGCAGTTTGCTCTTTACGTTGTGAGTTCAGGTGACAATCCCTGGCTATGTCTCTAGTTACTTACAGCTTTGTTTGTTTTTCTTGCAGTGAAGCAGATAAGGTGCCAGTAGAGGGACTCTCGATCAAAGACAAGGGGAAAGGCAATGAGAAACAAAGTGAAAAGGGAAAGAAACATGGAGACTGTCCCAACCCAACAACCGCCAGTCCAACTAATCAGTCGGCTGCTGTCACACAGTAAGTGTGAGTTTGTGTTTGTGTGTGTAATACTTCAAATCCTTGGTTAAACACCTTGCAAGAATGAGCCCTATTACAAGACTCCTCCAATTACTGACCTCAAGTGTTTGCCAACACCCCAAAACTGTTTTAAATGAGCTGATTGCTTGGCCTCCAGTATTGCTGTTTGCTGCTTTCTCAAAAATCGCTCATGCGAACAGCTTCACACTCGACACTGCTTTCTTGGGTCCTAAGCAATCCACTTGCCATGACATAGCTGCAATGCCTAGCAGTGCTGGAGTATATGCGTCATTTGCTAACAGCTAGCTATTGGGGACCAGGCTACTTCCTGGAACTTAAGCTTTCATTCTGCAAGTTACACTGCTGATGGTTGAAATGTTTGAGTTTTATTTAGTGTTTCATCTCCAGTATCTGGTCTATCTTTTTTCATCTTAATGTACTGTAGCGAGCGATGGAGCGCAAGCTGTACCCAGCATGTCGTTCATCAGTGTAACAGTTAATAGGGGTCCCCTCTCAGTACTCTACAGTGAGTACCTTTGGCAGTGTTAATGCACTACTAATAAATATGTCCTGTAAATCACAAGACTTCACACTCAACACCGCACTTTGTTGGGCCCTCAGCAGTTGCCAAGTGTGAAGTCAATCGGATGAACAGTTGTCGAGAAAATTGGACAGACAGACATACAGACTCCTTCCGTTTTAGTTAAAAGATTTATTGAACTGTAATTTTTCCGCATTTTGAAGGTTATAACTCAAATTCTGTTCATCTGCATCATATTTGGGTGGTGCCGGAAGTCTCACTGAAAGATAAATCCAAACTTTGAATTTTACTTTCCTGTCTGTTTTATAATGTTCATAATTTTGTTTTGTTTTTCTTACAGAGGGACGCCGCCGTCTGCTAATGGACCGGCCTAACGATGCAGCACACACAAACACACACCCTTGCTTCATACCTGTCCATTCAACATACAGCAACGCCACCTTTGCTTCCTGTTAGCAGCCCTCCAATGTCCTTTCGTGTCCGAAGAATGAGAGACGCTCAGTGTTGAGGTCAAACAGCCCTTGACAGTATGTATGCTGGATAAGACATATCTACACAAAGGTACACTGACTCTCCTGCACCTTCATGACATTATTACAACCGCTTCAAAGAGGAATGTGAGTTTTAAAGAACATCTCATTGTACCAGACCCCCAAAGCCAAATTCTGTTATATATGAACTGTTTCAAAATGTGATTTTTCCCTTTGAACTTGGGAGAGTGATGACACTCTTGTGATGTGATGAGCGTTTGAGTGCCAGCTGTGGCACTGTAAGAAAACAAACACCTGTCTGAAATTTGACCTTTATTAAATTCAACATCAAATTTCAGATTGTTTGAGCATGTCTGCTCTCTGGGTATTAAACCACAGCCCAGAGATTTTTTCTATTAGAGCATTTGACTGTTTACACTTTAGTAAAGAAAAACTGTACTCAAATAATCAGCCAAGATTACAAAGCCAAGATGCTTGCAAAGCTAGCTGCCATTTTCTCTTCAGCATTTCTCTGTAGTACATGCCAGGCAGACATTTTATTAGTGCAAATGTGTGAGTGATAATGATTTGGCTTTTTTCATACATGCTGCCTAAATTATTTCTCAATCCAAGTAAGATTTCTTTGCTTCGATCATGTGGAACATAAATGCTCCCCTTTTGGAGCATCAGATTTGGGAGCATCATGTGTCACTTCCTCCTCAAACCTCTGAGAAATTCATGTAGTTTAGAGGTGTGTGTGCTGTTGTATCCATGTGTGTTGACGTGTGTGTGTGTGCATGTGTGTTTGAGCTCTGTCCGAGGTATAGAGCACATTCTCAGGTCAAAGGAGAGGTATGCAGATACAAAGAAAGCACACCTGTGTGACACACATGCACACACACAGCGTCATACACGCATGTATGCACAACCAAATCTATACACACGAGCAAAAAAACACAGTGGTGTGCACATACTGATTCATATCACCCTCAGAGCTGTTTAAATGTAATATTGTGAAATTTGAACCTGTATTAGGTTGTGGCTATTCTTGGTAACATGTAAACGTAATATAAATGTAAACAGTATATATAAACATTATATCTATTTTTGGAATAAATCCAACGTATGGAAAGGCGGTTGTTTTGCAGGTTGCAACGTGTGTATTGTATGTGTGTGTTGTACTGTTGAAATGAGGCAATAATGATGTCTGTGTTTTGGTTACTACCCCAGCATCAGTTCCTGTTCCTCTGCTACATGCTTCCTATGTGGAGGTTTGAGAGCGTGCATGTGCGTGATTGTCCGTCGTCTGCGGTGTGTCCTCTGTGTTATTTACTTAAAGGGTGATTCTGGTTTATTAGATTTTGGGTCTTATTTTCATTCATCAGTTTTAAACAAAATTCTAGGGTAACCAATCTTATTGAGAAAACAAAGGTGACCATTAAAATGACACTAAAACTGCTGCTTCAACTTTTAGTTTGTATCGTATAATTTGTGTGAAGTTACTTTTCCCATTTAATGAGGGTTTATTATTAAGTGCTGAACACATTTGTTGATTAATACAATAGTCAATCGACACAAAAATGTCAAGCAAAAATTTTGATAATCAGTTCGTCGTTCGTGTCAAACGTAACTTAATCAGTTTCTTAATTTGCTTTTCTTTGTCTAATATACAGTCAGGGCTGCCCCCTAAAAGTTGCAGATCCGAAACAATGAAGTTGTTTCTATTCTATTCAATCAGCCAGATTTTTTTTAGATTTTATTTCTGAGTTTTTAACACTTAAACAATGCACAAACACAGATAAGAAAAACAGAGAAGACAAAAAAAAAGAAAAGGAAAAAAAGACAATGAAAACAAAATAATAAAAAATAAATAGATTATAATCGTAGTAATAATAATTATGGTAAGAAATTAGTATGCAGTGTATTTCTGGGGACAATTTAATCCCCAGATTCAGCTGCAGAGTAAGCGCTCCTTACTTCGCTCAGTCAAGCCCTGAAATAACATTATCCTTTGCCTTCTGCTTAGAAGTGGTGAATTTACAGCTCACGGAGTCTCCTTCATCATCTTCACATCATCGCTATTTAATAAACAACAGTTTGAAATCTACCGTCAATAAAAAATGTTATTGCACATTTGTGACCTGTCGTCAGCTTGTTTACAATATTATGTCTATGTTGTCACAGTGAACGTCAAGCCAAAAACTCTCAAACTCTATGAGGAAAAAAAAGGAACGAATAGTTGAATATTCTTATTAAACAGCCAAATCCAATCCGACTGACATAATTGTAAGTCGAGTACAGCCCTATATATAGTTAACTAACTATATATTTTTGGGTTTTGCACTGTTGGTTGGACAAAACAATCAATTTGATGGTATCACTTTGGGCTTTTAGTAACTGTGATGGGAATTGTTCACAATTTCCTGACAATTTATAGACCAGTGATACTCAGCTTTTTTACTTCACAATGAAAATAAATTGATTTACACTGTAATTTGACTTTTACTTTGAATGTAAATAGGGTGCCACAGTGCATAAAAAACATCAAAATAAAACTTAAAACCGCCCCTGTGTAGACCTTACCTGCAACTGGCCCCTGGCCTCTTGTCATTTTGCAAAAGCAGCCCTTGGGTAGAGCAAGTTGAAGAAGAAATGAAGAAATGAATTGATCTAATCAATAAAATACTTATCAGATTAATAGATAATGAAAATAATCATATATGAATGTGTGCTCATCCAAATTAAAGTTGTTTAGATAATTATATTAAACTGTTTGACGCCTGTCTGCCTGCTTTATTTCCTAATGTTATTAGCATTTAACTTGTTGAGTACAATCTAATCATAACTGAATCATTACAAAACCCAAGTTGTAATAAACCAGAATTATCCTTTAAGTTTGCGTGTGCCAGACAGTCATGCTTTACTTTATCTTTCTCCTCGTCTCTCTCTTTCTCAGGGCAGGAGTCGACTTTAATTGCATATAAATGCCTATGGAGCGATTTACATAGATTGTTGTATTTATTTTAAAAGCACTTTTTCAAGAAGCACTTTTGGTTTGTATTTGGTGGTGGTGCCAAGCGCCACCACATTACTTCCCACTCTAAAGAGGTGGGAATGTTTGACTTGAACGAGTGAATTATGTAGATACTTTAGAATACTTTTTTCTTCGATGCTTTCTGCCAAAGTGTGTCTTCCCACCAGTGTTTCAGCTGGGTTTCATATCTGTGAAGTAGCCTCGTTTCTCGCAATGGTGTCACAGGTCTAGATCTATCTAAAGCAGTCTTTGTTTGATCCCTCGCTCATGTTTTTCTTTTTTTTTTCTTTCTTTTTTTTAAGTCATGTGATGGAGTTATCAGCAGTGGGAGAGGATGCCACATGTCAAAGAAAGACTTTGAAGATTCATCCTAGATCACAGATAGTTTTTTGCTTTTATCCGTTCAGCACAGAGCTGTTAGAAGTGGAGCTGCGCAGAGAGTAAGCGTTGGTTTAAGTCAGGGTTAGAGGAGAAAAACAGGGCTGTTTTTTGTCAGGGTGTGTACAGGGTCAGAATATGTCATCCTGTCTTTCGCCAAACCTAAGCACTGCGTCTGACCCTTTGTGTTTGTGTGTGTGTGTGTGTGTGTGTGTGTATTTCACCTTGAGAGTGTGGTGTGTGTGTGCAGTGTAGCTACGGGTATGGTGCGATGTTATGCTTAATGGCATGAGGTACAATACAGTCATCTTTAAGTGCCATTACGTTTGCACATTAGCCTCATTCACCTCATTGGGTATGTGCTGTATTGTACAGAGTGTGCCCAGAACTTTAATTGAGAGACAGTGGGTGTTAAATTGTTACTCCACCCTATGGTCTGTTACTTACACTGAGGCCATTTCAACAATAAAATCTTTCTCGCATTATAGCTGATCACATTTGTGTACGTGTGAGTATGCGTGTGTGTGTGTGTGTGTGCGCGCGTGTGTGTTTGGAGGGGAGTGGTGCGAAAGACAGCCGTGTTGTAAAATGCCTTTTTTGTAAAGTGGACTGATGCTGGTGTTTTGTTTTGTTTTCTTTTTTTTTTTTCATTTAGGGAGTAATGTGTCTGTTTCCTGTTGTCAATTTAGCTTGTACATTCAGATATGAACCTAATAAATATGTCAGACCCAGAAGAAGCATGAGCCTCTGTTTGTCTCACATTTACAGCCTGCTGTGACACACACACACACACACACACACATACACACATACAGTACAAACACAGACAGAGCAAGAGCAGGACTCGGTCTATGGAAGCACAAATATGTTTATCTTAGGGGCAGGTGAGCTAGTGGATTATGTTGCCTCCCGCTCCTTACTGTACGTCTCCTACACATGTGAACCACACCGAAAGATAATGATACACCACCACCCCCCAATGTAAACACATACCAGCCACGTAGATCCTACTGTGCTGTTAGTCAAGGTTATTATACAGTAGTTAACTAAACTGAAAACTAAAACTAGGTGTGAAAAAACAATGTAGTAAACTGAAATAAAATTTAAAACTATCAGACTGTACTGTAAAATTAAATACAGGGACTCTCTTCAGTTTTAGTCTTTGTCAATTTAGTCAAACATTTGGTTTGTGATTGTGTTAAAATACCTGTTCCTAAAATTGGCCCTTGACAAATACCCCCCATATTAGAATAGACAACTACAATTACCACCACGCTGTTGTCTTCCTCCACAAAACCAGTCAAGCTGCAGTTACAGTTTACATCCTTTTCTGTCCAGTCTCATATATGATGTTTTGTTTTTACATGTTTTTTCAGAACCTCATGATGCCACTGTGAAGTTGACCTTTGACCTTTTGGATAGAAAATGTCGGTACTTCAACATGTTATTCTATGAGACGTTTGTCTGAAATGTTGTTGATCTTTGGCCACCTAAATCCAATCAGGTCATCACTGTGTCCAACTTCAAGTTTGTGCCAAATGTAAAGAAATTTCCTCAAGACATTCTTGAGTTAGAATGTTCATAAGAATGAGAAAGATGCAAGGTCACAGTGACCTTGACCTTTGACTGCCCAGATCCAATCAGTTCATCACTGAGTCTAAGTTTAAGTTTTTGCCAAATTTAAAGAATTTCCTTTAAGGTATTCTTGAGTTATGATGTTCATAAGAATGAGAGAGGTGCAAGGTATCAGTGACCTTGACCTCTGATCACCTAAATCCAAGCAGTTCATCACTGACTCGAAGTTTAAGTTTGTGCCAAATTTAAAGGAATTCTTTAAGACAGTCTTGAGTTATGGTGTTAATGAGAATGAGACAGATGCAAGGTCTCAGTGACCTTGACCGTTGACCACCCAAATCCAATTAGTCCATCTCTGAGTTGAAGTTTAAGTTTGTGCCTAATTTTAAGACATTCCCTTATGGCATTCTTGAGTAATGGCATTCATGAGAATAAGAGAGATGCAAGGTCACAGTGACCTTGAACTTTGAGCATTGACCACCCAAATCCAATCAGTTCATCACTGAGTCGAAGTGGACGTTTGTGCCAAATTTAAAGAAATTCTCCCAAGGCATTCTTCAGATATCACATTAAAAGAATCAGAGAGACTGATGGAAGCACAACCGGAAAACATAATGCCTCCGGCCATGGCTATCACCAGCATGAAGTCATAAATTAGAGTATGTTAAAACTAAACCTTTTTAAACATTAAAAACTTAACTGAAACAAGCAAACACACTTTAAACTAACTGACTCTAAACTAAACTGAAAACAAAAAAAAACAAAAATGAAAAAAATATAAAACCATAACAACTGTGCTGTGAGTTGAACTGAGTTCATGTAACAGTATCAGACGAGCTGGAGACCCCTCTTTTGTGTTCATACACTTCTCATATTCACTGTTCAGCCTGGAGGAGTCCTATCTATATATCATTGCCCTTTTACTGAGGGCGTGTGTTGTCATTCCTTGGCTCGCATACATCATGCATGTCATCCCATTCCTCTGTAGTTTACAAGTGAAGCGCAGACAATGAACACACCTGCTGCTGCTCCGGCTTTCTACTCCTCTCCCTGTCTTCTTTTCCAACTCTTACCACTTCCACAGAGCAAAAAAAAATACACCTTTAGTGTGTCATCAGCACCTGCCTGCTCTGCTCTGTCTGTAGTGAGAGCATACATGTGGAGAAGAGAGTGTGTATGCAGTGGGTGGAAAAAGGAGAAGAAGGCGGAGTTGTGTTTTGTACTTTAATGGGTTGTGGAGAAACCTGCCTGTCCACTCAGAGCTGGGAGAGGAGGAGCTTGTGGGGTGTGGGACTCCAGACAAAGGAGACATATACTCACTGACACTGGATCACTGGAGCGGCAGAGAGCTTCACTTTCCGCACAGGAGGCAATCCTCAACTCCTGGACTAGTTTTTGTGTGTGTGTGTGTTTTGGAAAACTTTGTGTTATGTGTTTTGTCAGCTGTATGGATTCATTTGTGAACTGAGAGATGTTTGTGCTGGAGCAGCTGCTGCCATATGCTGCCTGTATGTAGTGTGCAGTAAAGAGTGTGTGGGTTAGTAGGTTTGGGATGGAAAAGTGGGGCTGGCACGACCAACAGCTCTGCTCTTAGCTCTGCGCCATGGGGGGTTGCCATAGCTACCCCTCGGCTACGAAGGCAGACAGCAAGAGTCTTCAGCCATCTGACATCAGCAGTGACAAACTGTAAGTTGTGTTTCTTTTCTCTTAAACTCATGTTTCAGTTTCCTGTTTGGAAGTTTTGCATTTGCTACATCTTTCCAGAGTCACTTCTCACACCCTGAAAGAACATAAACTAACACACAGGAAAAAGATGTTGTTTTAGTAATGGATACTGTGGAGAAAACATTACTAGAAAGCTGGACACACATGGTTTACTCAGGAATGCTCTCCAGATAAAGTAGTGTGTGTGTGAGTGTGTTACATATTTGTGTGATGGCATCAGTGAAGGTGGATTCCTCCAACAGCGGGAACACATGTTGTGAAGTAGTTTGAACCAAGACAAGGAAAGACTGCATGTGTTTCTTTAGCACAGTTTCTCTGCAGATATTTGCCCGAGGATGAATCTTTTAAAGCCAGCTGGCTGCCGCTGAAGAGGACTGTTTATTTCACCCTCACGGCTGAGGTAAAGGTAAACAGATGGCCGAGAGCGGGAGAGCAGGGTCACACAGGAGTGTGTTTACACACAAACACAACAGTACAAGTAGCTCCGGGTTCATTGTGTTTGTGATCTGCTGACAACTGGTAGCCAAGAGGCGGTAATTGAGTTAATACCATGAAGCTGGACCAGAACAGGATGTTAACAAAGCAAGTTCCTGTGAACGTTGGAGAAGTTAGGCTTCAATTTGTGCTACTGTACCTTTGTACTGCTAATGTTTACATTCCTCTCTGTCACTAGTCCACCCTCTCTACCTCTCCTGACCTTTAGTTTGGACAAAGACCTGCTGTTTAAACCATTAAACTATGTTCTCCTTGCCCACACACACACATTTACACCATGGGGGGAGTGAAACCCCATAGAGAGCACTGTGTTTCCCTTATCACAGTAGACAAGGTCACACCGAGGAAACTCAGCTGCTGCTGCTGTGTGTGTACACATCTAAAAACTGACTGTATCAGCTGCCCGATTCCACTACGCTTTGAAATATTCACTTTAATCCAAACTGCCATCTTTAAAAAACAACATTCAAGCTATCAAACGACAGAAAAGACAGAGCAGAGCCCCGTCATCATCACAGCACACTACCTGCGTCACCTCCTTGTTTGCATAAAGTCAAATCATGCTGCCAAGTTTGACTTTCCAGAACACGTTGGCATTCGCAAACAACATCATTCATTTCCTGCACTCACACTGTAAAGTTATCACAGGTTCCCAAGCTGTCAGTCCTGTGTGACTGATTATAGCAGTTATTAGCATGTATGCGAACTAATGTGGGGCAGCCAGGCGGCCTCAGCACTCAGCTCTGTACATTACCATGCACAGTGTCCTCTCAGTTGTTTACTTTGTAGCACTGACCACTGCAGCAGTGAGCTTCATTAACAGTGATTACTCTGGCTCTGAATCGACTGCCTTCATTAAATTAACTGCTGATTTATTGGACTTTTAGCTCTGCAGTTACAGCACTGCTCGTATGTGTCTGCATGTGTGCGCACTGCCGGGCCACAGAGGGCAAGACAGATGAGAGAGCATCAGGGAGTGTAAAACGTGTTATCTCCTGACTGCAGCAGGAGTAATTAATCCACTGACCTATCGATTGTTTTACACAGCGATATTTTCTGTCTCTTCGTCTTTCCCTTTCTGCCTCTGCTTCATTAACTCTGCTCTCTCTTCGCCCCCCAAGGGGAATTAATAACAATAATCTGGAGGAGCGTCCATATCTGCAGCAGCAGTATGTGTGCCAGCAGATCACACACACAGACATGTTTGCCCTCACGTCGCTGCCGCCTGGTGTCGACAAGGCAGAGTGGCTCGCCAGCAACAGTGAGTAGACACCCTTTAAGCACAGCAGATTTTTTTTGACTGTTTGTACTCCTTGTCTCCAGCTCCTTATCCTGACACACAATGCAAAAAACAGACTTAAGAATACACACATACATTTCTTCTGTTTGATTTCTTTCAGCGGTGGCATTTTTCAAGCACATAAACCTGTTCTCTAGTGCACTGTCTGAGTTCTGCACTCCCAGTACCTGCCCCACTGCCTGTGGACCAGGCAACATGTAAGTTACTGACTGAGCATTATACGGCTAATATTTCCTCACTCTGTCTTAGTGATATCTTGTCATGCAGATACTTTAAAATTTGCAGAGGTTCTGAGATATCCACAGCGGACCATTTTTATATAAGCTACTTTCTACTAAAGCTATCATCCCACAACCATGAAAACTGTTGACTGTTTAGTTTGTGGATTATCCTGAGTTACTGGGAGATTTTTCCTAAAAGGCAAATTGCTGTTAAACTTAGTTCTCAATGCTTTCAGGAGCACAAATACAATTCTACAGCACTTCCCTAGTTAACAGGGGAAAATGGGAAGTACTACTCATTCATTTTCCGTAACCGCTTATCCTGTTAGAGGTCGCACAGGGCTGGAGCCCATCCCAGCTGACATTGGGCGAGAGGCAGGGTACACTCTGGACAGGTCACCAGACTACTATCACAGGGCTGACACATAGAGACAGACAACCATTCATGCTCGCATTCACACCACATTACGAACAATTTAGAGTCACCAATTTACCTACATGTCTTTGGACTGTGGGAGGAAGCCAGAGCACCCAGAGAAAACCCACACTGACACTGGGAGAACATGCAAACTCTGCACAGAAGGAAGTACTTCTGGATTATGTGGGAAAAAAAGTTGTATGAAGCAGTGGCGGAGCCAGCTGCTGTAATCATTTGGGCTTAGCGCAAGCCTAGAGGGGTTCTGGGGGCATGCTCCACCTAGGATTTTGTTTCCCATTTACAGCAGCTATACGCCTTATTTTCCAAATCATTTCAGATAATACAATGCCTAAAATGTGTACATTATCATTCTGTAGAGCCTGCATCCTGTTTTGTATCTAATTGTTCTCCAACTGTCTTCATCATTCATCATCATTCATTTCCATAACCACTTATCCTGTTGGGGGTTGTGGGGGGGCTGGAGCCTATCCCAGCTGACACTGGGCGAGAGGCAGGGTACACCCTGGACAGGTCACCAGACTATCACAGGGCTGACACATAGAGAGAGACAACAGTTCATGCTCAAACTCACACCTACGGACAATTAAGAGTCGCCATTTAAAACCCACGTTGCCACGAGGAGAACATGCAAACTCAGCACAGAAGGGCTCCCCACCCTGTGTTTGAACCAGGAGCCCTCTTCCTGTGTGCTAACCACTGTACCACCATGCTGCCATCAACCCAAGAGAGAACTAAAAAGAGCTAAAAAATGATCTGATCTAACTATTTTAAAGTTACTTAACATAGGTAGGGTACGAATGTGGCATAACATTACTAACCTTGAAACCTATTTTTGTAATGCTATGCTAGAGTGCAGTTCACAGAATGTTTGACAAATCAGTTTACTTTGATTCCATGTCATAAGAATCTGAGCTGCTCTAATCAAGGGTCCTCAAACAGTGCCAAGTAAATGTGGTCTTCAGCACTCTAAACTGAATTTTAGGTTAACAGAGGAACATTTACTTAATGATATTAGATGTCTCTATGGAATAGCATAGTAGGATAAACGACATGAACATATACTGTATTGTTATCCGAATTATACAAAGTTGGAGATATTTTAAAAACTTAAAAGATTCTGGGCTTTTGAGAAAACACAGATAAAACAGCTGTGTCATATCTAATACATTTCCTCAAGTGATGTCACCAGAGTCAGCATCTTGTGGCCAAAAACTACAAGTTTGAACCTAAAAAAAATCTAGAGGTATTGAGTGAGGTTACTGAAACCGTCTTTGGTTGATACTAGAAGCTTGAGGCTAAATTAGCTTCAACTAGCATAAAAGCCTGAATCAATGACTGAAGTGGTAGTGGTTGTGTTGCGTTGTGGGTAATGTAGGCACTACTAAGGAAAGAGTGTTCAGAATGAAAAAGACATTATCTCTAGTTCTGCTGCATCAGTTTTGCTACTTTTCAAGACTGATAATGTTATATGAGTGCAATCATAATAAGGTGCAAGAGCTTATGTTTGACACATATGAAAGGGGGGGTGAGCATCCTTTGTCAGAATATTTCTAGCATCAAACACTGAATTTCCTGCATTCTTGTGACTTGTTCTGCATGAATTTTTGGTGTAAATGTCTTTGATTTTATCAAAAATATTATTTTTAGTGTTTTTATTTGGGAAGACAGATGCACACACCCCCAAAATCTGCACCTATGAATCAGTGAGTGGGATGGTGGTAGAAATTTCATGATCCTTGAGAGTCAAAGCTTCAACATTTTTTTTGTGTGTGTGTGACTTGGCAAAAATTGATCCTCGGGGGCGTCGGTGGCTTAGTGGTAGAGCAAGCGCCCCATGTACAAGGCTGTTGCTGCAGCGGCCTGTGGCCCTTTGCAGCATGTCATCCCCTCTCTCTCCCCCTTTCACACTTAACTGTCCTGTCCATTAAAGGCAAAAAATGCCCAAAAAAAATCTTTAAAAAAAAAATAAAAAATTGATCCTTGAAGATGGAATATAGACAGCTTCTCTGTCTTTCACAGTTACAGCCCTGTTTGCCTTGTAGCAGCAGCACCTCTATGAAAGGCACAGGAACAAGTTGGTCATCATTAATTACTTTCTAGTCTGCCAAACAATTATAAAAGAGAAGGAGATACTTTTTAAGTGTCACCTGTCCAATTCCTGAACTCAAGTCATGATGTTGAAAGTCCATTTTGGACCATGGAACATGAAACACTCTGCATTGAGCATCTTAGTGACCGTGTGTGTGTGTTTTGGTGTTTTCAGGGTTTATGTTTGGACCGATGACCACGGCAGGAAGCTGAAGTGCTCTGCCCCACTTTACTTTGACTATGCCATGTCATACATTCAGGAGCTACTGACTGATGAAGATGTGTTCCCCACAAAAGCAGGTAAAAGGCACATCATTCATGTTGCATTGTTCTGCATCATCTTCCACATTCCCAAAGCCATCATCTCTTTCGTCTTTTCCAGGTTCAGTGTTTCCGACAGGCTTCGTCTTTCTGGTCCAGAAGGTGTATTTGCTGTTTTTCAGGACTCTGGCTCACATATATTGGTCTCACTATAGAGAGACACTGGCCCTGGGCCTGCACCCGCACCTCAACACACTCTTCACGCACCTCACGCTCTTCTGCCGACAGCACGGCCTGTTGGACCCAGAGGACACTGAGCCACTGCAGGACCTCATCACAGCTCTGGGACAGCCAGGCTGCACCTAAGGAGCAAACACACATATTGTGCACTTACATTTTCATCACACACTTATTTATGTGTTATATCTTGTTATGTAGCAACAGTATATCATGTCACTCACCACTCTAGGTCAAACTTAAACTTATTTTACACAATGAAATTTCTTTTTAAAGGCCTGGAAGTTGTAAAATAGAAAATAAAATACTGTTAATGAACAGTATTCGGGAGAATGAATGAGTTTGCTCTGCTTTAAAAAGCACATCAGACCTGAAAAGGAGTGTCTTCCTCCTGATGTTTATAGTTGTCATCAGTTGTTGTCATACTGTGTGAAACTGTAGTATTGCATGTTCGTGTATTTTAACATAATGGTGCATTATAATATTTTGTTAAGGTCAAGATCTTCAAGGTCAATCACGTCTTCCACATAGGCACAGAGTCATTTAAACATTGAACCATCCAATTCACAGTCAATATAAAGAAAATGTGTCATTATCACATTGTGAGCATTTGCTAAAACCCTTAAGGGTGTTAATGTTATTACATTGTCATGACTTCATCTGTACTGAACAACACATCCTATCTCCACATCTGCATCATGTATGCTTCTGTACTCTGTAATAAACATCTAAGACGGACTCTTTTCTGCATATGGTTAAGCAATCAAATAAGAAAATTAAGTTCAGTATCCTGTAACTATCTTGAATCTGTAGTAACTGCTGGTTTTGTAACATCAGTATGTCTGCAGGTCTGTGGCGTGAGTGCAGCACCACCCACTGCCGGCACAGGAACCCGGCATGTATCATTTTTTAACCTCCACTGTCAGCCACAGTACACTGCAGTCTGCAAATGTTTGTTTTGTTGGCTGCCGCATATTGGAGTTTAAATAAAACAGTGACGAGGAGGGTAAAGTGCTGACTTTCACGTTTCACATGAGGGTGTTTACATCCAGATTGGGTTAAACGGTGTGGAAACTGCATATAAAAATGACAGGACAATGTATCAAAGGGTTACGAGTCCTGCACTCTGCACCTAGTAACAGATATATACACCCTGCAGGACTCTTAAAGCTGGGAAGTCAGCACTTGCTGTATCCGTTTGTCATTGTTTCATTTCAGATCTTGGAGTGAAGCCAACGTAAAGGAAAATGTGCCATTGTTTGAAATACCTACAGACTGCACTCTACACCTTCACAGAAGAGGGTATATGCAGCAATCCTGAAGATAAATTTAATGTCTTTTTAGACCCTTTCCGTATACATTAAGGCCATCTGAAAATTACCAGTTTTAGTTCTGACCAGTTGCATCAGCAGCACACTTTAACTTAAATTTATCATACATTGATTTTAAGATAGTACAACTAAAAAGTCTTAGTTTGTGATAACTCCTTGGACCACTGTATTAAGGCAACATAATTCAGATACACAGGGTGTGAACAAAGCCCAAAGAATAACTTGAGTGACTAATCCAATGCCAGATTTATAAGAAAGAGTAACAGACAGACCCACACTTGACCTCTTTCTTATTAGGCAAATCAATAATTTATGTTTTTGTCCTCTATATTATTGGTATGGCACAATACCACAATTGTTATCAATTTTTATCTTTTATCTATCTTTTATCTTTTTTTTTCTTTTTTTTTTTCACCATTCTAAGGTATTGGAGCTCATTAGGAAAAAGTAGTCAGAGTAAAGTGTGTTATAAAAAATGTCATAAAACACGTCATAGTATGTCATAAAAAAATCATAGTATAGTGTGCCATAAAACTCAGAAATAAATCAGAGTATAGTATTACATTAAAAAAATCATAGCATAGTTTGCAATAACAAATCTTATTAAAAAAACATAACAGTGTCATAACATATCATCATAGTGTAGTATGCCCTAAAAATGTAATTTAAAAAAAAACAACATAGAAGCATAGTGTGCAATGAAATTGTCATTAAAAATCATAGCATATCATTTTACAAAAAAACAACAACATTGTTTGCCATAAAAACATTGCTGCACAGAAGCTGCATATTCTAAAACATGGATGCTTCACCTACATCTTCAACCCATCGGCACAGATGCTCTATACAACTGATAGAGTTTCAACATGGACACCCAAGAATAGTGTCATCAGTTCAGCATCTGACCAAATGTTTCCCCTTGATTGACGGTGAGTTAAGGACAGAAAATTGTTTTTGCAGAACATTATGATGTCACAGTGAAGTTGACCTTTGACCTTTTGGATATAAAATGTCATCACTTCATCATTTATTTTATTAGAAATATGTGTGAAATGTCATAATTAGTGTATGAATTCTTCAGTTATGGCCAAAAACATGTCTTGTGAGGTTACAGTGATCTTGACCTTTGACTACCAAATTACAGTTAATTCATCCTTGAGTCCAAGTGGCATTCCAGGCATTCTGGAGATTATGCGTTCACAAAAATCAGATAGATGCAAGGTCACATGCCATAAGAATGCCATGAAAATGAAATACTTGACTACCATAAGAAAAAAAGTATACCGTAAAAAACACTATAAAAATTGTCATAGTATAGACTGTCATTTTAACAAATCATGGTGAAATATGTCATAAATATGTCAGAAAAAATACCATAGTATAGTATATCATAATAAATATGTCAAAAAAAGTCATAGCACAGTATGTCATAAATATATCCAAAAAATCGTCATAGTATGTCATAAATATGACAAAAGAAGTCATAGTATAGTATGTCATAAATATGTCAGGAAAAAGGTCATAGGATGTCATAAATACATCAGAAAATACGTCATAGTATAGTATGTCATAAATATGTCAAAAAAGTCATAGTATAGTATGTCATAAATATGTCAAAAAAAGTCATAATAAAGGATGTCATAAATACATCAGAAAATACGTCATAGTATAGTATGTCATAAATGTGTCAGAAAAAAAGCCATCGTATAGTGTGTCAAAAATACGTTAGAAAAAACGTCATAGTATAGTATGTCATAAATATAGCAAAAAAAAGTCATAGTATAGTATAGTATGTCATAAATATGTCAAAAAAAAGTCAAAGTACAGTATGTCATGAATACATCAGAAAAAACGTCATAGTATAGTATGTCATGAATATGTCAAAAAAAGTCATAGCATAGTATGTTATAAATACGTCAGAAAAAAACGTCATAGTATAGTATGTCATAAATGTGTCAGAAAAAACGCCATAGTATAGTATGTCATAAATACGTCAGAAAAAACATCATAGTATAGTATGTCATAAATAGGTCAGAAAAAGCATCATAGTATGTCATAAATATGTCTGAAAAAACGCCATAGTATAGTATGTCATAAATAGGTCAGAAAAAACATCATAGTATAGTATGTCATAAATAGGTCAGAAAAAACGCCATAGTATAGTATGTCATAAATAGGTCAGAAAAAACATCATAGTATAGTATGTCATAAATATGTCAGAAAAAACATCATAGTATAGTATGTCATAAATAGGTCAGAAAAAACATCATAGTATAGTATGTCATAAATAGGTCAGAAAAAACACCATAGTATAGTATGTCATAAATAGGTCAGAAAAAACATCATAGTATAGTATGTCATAAATATGTCAGAAAAAACATCATAGTATAGTATGTCATAAATAGGTCAGAAAAAACATCATAGTATAGTATGTCATAAATAGGTCAGAAAAAACGCCATAGTATAGTATGTCATAAATAGGTCAGAAAAAACATCATAGTATAGTATGTCATAAATATGTCAGAAAAAACATCATAGTATAGTATGTCATAAATAGGTCAGAAAAAACATCATAGTATAGTATGTCATAAATAGGTCAGAAAAAACGCCATAGTATAGTATGTCATAAATATGTCAAAAAAAAAGTTATAGTATAGTATGTCGTAAATGTGTCAGAAAAAAAAGCATCATAGTATAGTATGTCATAAATAGGTCAGAAAAAAACGCCATAGTATAGTATGTCATAAATATGTCAGAAAAAACATCATAGTATAGTATGTCATAAATAGGTCAGAAAAAACGCCATAGTATAGTATGTCGTAAATGTGTCAGAAAAAAAGCATTATAGTATAGTATGTCATGAATATGTCAGAAAAAACGTCATAGTATAGTATGTCATAAATATGTCAGAAAAAACGTCATAGTATAGTATGTCGTAAAGACGTCAGAAAAAACGTCATAGTATAGTACGCCATAAATATGTCAAAAAAAAATCATAGTATAGTATGACATAAACATGTCAGAAAAAATGTCAAAGTATAGTATGTCGTAAATGTGTCAGGAAAAAAAGCATCATAGTATAGTATGTCATAAATATGTCAGAGAAAACGTCATAGTATGTCATAAATATGTCAAAAAAGTCATCGTATAGTCTGTCATAAATATGTCAGAAAAAATGTCGTAGTATAGTATGTCATAAATATGTCAAAAAAACATCATAGTATAGTATGTCATGAATATGTAAAAAAAAAGGTAATAGTATAGTATGTTGTAAATGTGTCAGAAAAAAAGCATCATAGTATAGTATGTCATGAATATGTCTGAAAAAACGTCATAGTATAGTATATCATAAATATGAAAAAAAAAAAAAACATCATAGTATAGTATGTCATGAATATGTAAAAAAAAAGGTTATAGTATAGTATGTCGTAAATGTGTCAGAAAAAAAACGTCATAGTATAGTATGTCATAAACATATCTGAAAAAACGTCATTGTATAGTATGTCATAAATATGTCAAAAAAAGTCATAGTATAGTATGTCGTAAATGTGTCAGAAAAAAAAGCATCATAGTATAGTATGTCATAAATATGTAAAAAAAAAAACAAAACATCATAGTATAGTATGTCATAAATATTTAAATCAGGAGAGACTCATTTTTCTATTGTCAAAAGAATATTTATTCACATGGGCATGCTGGAATTAAAATGTGGAAAGTCTGGTGATTAGACCCCATGGAGATGGTATGATTTCAGAAGGGTGATGGGAACCCCCCTGGGGGCGCCTGCTGGTGGTGGCAGACCTGGTGAAGATGAGATGAGAAGATGGAGAAGTGCCAATGATCTGGATGAGTCGAGAAATGAGTCTTTGTTGAGCTGTCCTTGACTCTGGATACGATGGCTGGAGGTGAACGGGGTGGAGAGGGTGTGACGATTTTGTCTGAAATGACAGCTGACAGCAGCAGAGGAGAGTGCCATAGTGTTGTATGACATGAATCTCAAAAAAATTATCAGTCATCGTATAGTGTGACATAAAAAAAAATCATACTATGGTATGTCAAATCATGTAGATCCAGTCCTACCAGAGAACACCTCTGTATGCAGCACAATGGACCATCTGACATTTTTGCTCTAGGTCACAATAAACAGACAGAATATCCAGGGCTGAAAGTGAACTCATACTGAGATCATGAAGTCACTCTCACTGACTCTCAGTGGAGAAGCACACAGTGAATACATTAGAGGTCCATGTACAGTAGATACAGTAAATAGTAGTTTCCTTTACCTCTGGTAGAGAAACGAGTGCATTTGTGCAAAAGAACACTCTAACGACAGCGACAAAAGTAAATCATTTTTTTTATGAATGATATAACATATGTTTTTCTTCAAATATCACAGTATACCAGGAC